GATTCACTATGAAGAAGGGAAACATTTAAAAATGAAATGGAAAAGAATCTGAAAGAATTTGCCATTGACTGTGGTGCTTTTTGCACAGTTGGACTTTGCTGCTGAGAGTAAGTGTAACCGAGACATCTAAAATGATTTTTTTTTTTTTTCCCCTGATTTTCTGAAACTTTTGACCATGTGGGCTGAGCTTATAACAGGATATGAAACTGCGTATCATAGCTCTGATTTATATTCTCGCATAGAGCTATTATTAAGGTGTCATATGAACAGATGGGATATGAATGATGAAGCTCAGATTGGGTAACTACCAGTTGAGAGGAAATGACTAATTGAACTTCAGAGAACAAGAAGTCTGTCTTCTTACAGTCAAAATACATGAAACAAAAATACGTATTTGTCCCTTCAGTGTAGCTGAAGATCTGTTTCTTCTGCTTTGACAGCATGGAACCTTTATGTTCATGTTGGCAGCTTGTCTGACTGCAATAATATAGAATGTACTGAAGTTTGTTTTAAATAGAGGCTGCATATTTTTAATATTACGTAAAGCAAAATGTAAAGTATTGCTTTTTAACAGCATAATGCAACTATTAGGTATCTTATAAGTTCTGTGTGATCTTGGCGATAATGATGGGGAAGTTCTTTACATTTCAAATCTGATTGTTGTGATTATAAACTGGAAACATTTGATGATTTCCCTTTCAGTAATATAAGCTATTTTTCATTGCTGTAGAATCTCATATTTTGTAACTACATTAAACATGCATCTTTAAGGTTCTTATTCTAAAACTGTGAAAGCTACAGAGGATAAATGCTCTAAAATCCATTAAGTCATAAAATAATTTCCACTTACAATAATTGTATTAACTTCTACCTGTAGCATAAACTCATCTTGTGTGTTATGTCAAAACTTCTATCAAGTGTCAGTGTCAATAATGTTAATTAATTGGCATAAATCAGCAATTTTAAAACTGTAGCACTTTAGGAATTTGAGTATGAACAGTGTGGATCAGAGCAGTGATTCATGTTGCTAATTGTATCCTAACAGAGGACGTAACACATTCAGATACTCAAACTGGAGCTTTGAAAACAGTTTTGTGCACCTGATTCATATCAATCTGTGGTGTGTCTAGTAAAATGTTTAAATGAGTAAAAAAATGTATGGGTTGCAAGTATAGGAAGAAAATCTAAACTACTTATGACAAAGCTATTTCACCATTGGGTTGGAGAAGAGAATTAATACTTAATAGCAAAATATCTCTATAGGCATGTAACTTTGAAGCCTATGAGTGTTCCCGTGGAATCTCTATTTGTATTGGTACTGCAGAAGCAAGGAAGCTAAAAGTGTGTTGATCACTTTACCATGATTATCTTTTAAGAGTGCTTATGTTATAGATAAAATAATGGCAGTTATTTCCTACTTCCATTCATTTACCAGCAACAAAATGATGAGTTTCTTTAAATATTTAAAAGCCAGGAACTTTGTCGCTGCTATATAAGCAGTTTCACCTGAAACATACTAAGTGGAAGGCAATAGATGTGAAAACAGAAGATACTCTATAGCAGCAAATAATCAATGAGCACAGTCTGAAAACGAGTGCAAAAAGAACAGAACAACTTCTTATTCTTCAGCAGATACTCAAGTCATCAAAATTTAAGTGGCTACAGTTCATTCTAATGAAAAAAAATCTTGTTTTATGGAAAAAACATCTGTTCCTGTGGTTGACATATGTTTAAGGCTTTTTATTTTAATTGCTATTCAGCTTCTAATTGTCAGAATAATTTGTAAATCACTCTGATTTTCTTCATTTTAGCTTGTTATCCTGAAAAATAAAGGTATAAGGGTCCAAATAGTTAGTTTACATATGCCAAAGGACAGTGCAATAGGATCTTGTGTATTCTCACTTTAATTTCTGTGTATCTGAACTGGCATAATTAACATTTGATTATTTATGCAATTATAGTAAAATTTAAGTTGATATGCTGAGATATACTGTATTTGTCAGCACAAGTTGTCAAGGAACATTTGTATTCTTGTCCTCTTTACCACATTTCCTTACTACAAAATGCTACTTGGATGCAGTATACCCTCAGTTATTGCTGTATTTATACCTTTGCTCTGATATCCTTGTATTAAATATACTATCTTGCTGAAGAAGGTCTTTGGTTTATTCTTGAGATGCCTCTGCTCTGTAGCTAATGGCTATAGTCTTACTCATCTTCTTCATTTGTGTAAGAAGCTTTAAAAACCCTGCGACACTAGGTTATGTATTCTAATTCAAACTCTTTTCAAAAAACATGATTAATATACTGAAAGGAGCTGGCCTCTGAAAAAAATCTGCAAAAAGGAAGACTTGTTTTGTAAACTTCAGTTCAAGCAATTAACAATGATTATTAAATGAAAAAAGTAATCAGTCTTTGGGCAAAAACTGACGGTGTTTTAAAATTCGAATTGTGTGCCTTTTTTCCTTTGTAAATCTGTTCAGACTTGGGGGTTTGTTTCCTTCCTTTGTTTTCATTGCCCCATCCCTAATAACTTGTCAGGTAGGGGAGTGTGGTTAGAAAGCTATTCCAAGTAGATAGTTTGTTACTTATACAAAATTAAGTTTTTTATGTTAGTTGAAAGAAACTAATGAACTTGGTAGACACTGAAATTTACACTGGCCGATGGAGTGATCAAATAGCAGTATACCATGTTTCTCAGAATATCAAACGTTTATCTTGCATATCATCTCTGAAAAGTGCCAGTGTACATTTTTGTGACAAGATTTCTATTTTGTCCACAGAAATGTCCATTTTGACCCCATGGCAAGTTGCGGGTTGTTAGACATAACAGCTGTAAGTTGATGGTGCTGCTACAAGTATTGATCATTAGTGTAAAGCAGCTGGATTTTGTGCAGAAAATAAGATTCTGTTGTGGTTTTGGGTAGCTACACTAACTTCAGAGTATCTACCATTAAAAAAGCAGTTCCGTATTACTCTAAAAGATTTTTGATCTCAAAATACAGAACATTTATATCTCGGTGTGTTAAATTTTGTTACAGACTTAAAGACCTGGAAGATCTTTTCCATTTTTTCATGGAAGGTACATTGCAGTAGAGTTACATGCTGCACTGTGTGCATATCTAGTTATGTGGCATGGGAGTAGGAGAAGTTTGACTTTCCCTGGGGGATGTGGTGTCTGGGGACAGACTATAAAGAAGAATTCACCCAGAGCAATTCAAGACTAGTTTGTGTCCATGACTGAAAGCTACTGGAGATAAGTGAAAAGCACAAGGCAGAAGGGTACTTGAGTCAGGGGGAAGACAAGCAGAGTGGCCTGTGGAGTTTATTGCCTTCCAGAGGTTGAAATATTTCATAATTTCTGAGAGCTAGCACTTTTTTCTGTCAGTAAGCATTTATAAATCCTCAAGCAAAGTGATGGACTGCATAGAGCTGTCAGTCTATTGCTGTCACATAGTTCAACCAACAGCACTCACTACTGAACTTCTCAGACAGTGGTTTAACTAAGCCTGTGCCCTTTGTGTGGCACTATGATACCAGCTGGTGGAAGTTATTCTTCCAGTTTGTTTTTTATGACAAATTAGAAAATCATGCAATGCTTGAAAAACTTCCCAAATTACTTAATAGTTGGAGAATTCATCTAATTGTCAGTTATTTAACTGTGGCCCAAGCAGGTATTGCTATCAAACTGACAATTCTTACGAGGTTGCAGAAATACACACTTTGTGCCTGTTTCAGATCTTCTCTTGGAATTCCCGACATTAATTCTGGGCAGAAGATACTTAGTAAATCTGTATCTTCGTGCAGTCCAGGGTTGCTATAGGAGGAAAGGGAAGTCAGCTTGCTGTAGGACATCAAGGGAGTAGCTTGTTTCCTCGCCTCTTTGTTATCTTCACAGTTTTTGCTTGGACTTGTGCCTTCCTCTGAATTTATTGGTGTGTATTAATTTGTGTATTTTATCTACTAATTACTAGAGGTAGAAAAAGCTCTTGTAATTCTTTAGATGATGCTTTTGAATTGGATAGGCTTGTTGGTTAGGTTTTGGGGTTTTTTGTTTGTTTTGTGGGATTTTTTTTTCCAAACTTGGAAAAGTTTGTAAAGTAGTGGAGGTGAAAATTTTTTTAAACAGCTGAGGGCACACATTAGGAAAGATGCAGCATCATCCATTTAATGGCTTAACAAAATGTTCATCAAGTAATTTCCTCTGCCCTTCATCCAGTCTCAAAGATTTGATGAAGCAGCTTGCATGGGCTGGAAACATATAAGGTCCCTAGACCTTTCTGGAGTTAAGAATGTACGTACTAAATAACTAAAATAAACTAAATAACTTAAAGTACCTGTAAGAAAATAATATCAAAGATGGCATTTAATGTTTAGAAAATGTAATTATGCTGAACAGAATTGACTAGTTTTGACTGGGGACTTGGAGTTGTCATTGTCTTTCCATGGAGTAGCATTAACTAAGGGACTTCAAAATGGGAAAAAAATCAAGTTGATTTTCTAATACTTTATCTAATACAGTTGGTGGGACAGAGGGAGTGTCTGTTTCTATTTCAAAATGAATGTGACAGCTCTGGGAAGCAGCCTTTTAAAATCATTCTGACATATAAATAGTTCTTAATCATGAAGCAGCAAAACCATCACTGCTTCTGAAAGACAAAAAAAATGGAAGATGCACTTCTTGCCTTGAAAATGTCTTTTAAGATTACCGTTAGTACAGCACTAGGCCAAAGCAGCAATTCAATTTTACAGTGCAAGTTCTTCAGTAATGCTAACAAATTGAATATGTGTTTTTAGAATAATTGGCATATTTACTTCAAGTTGATACCAAATTTATTTTTTGTAGTTGGTAACTGTAGGAATGAAGTCTACCTTTTTCCATTCGTTAATTCAGTAAATCCATAACTTAAATTTATAGTAAACTATTTGTAAGTATTGTTTTGTCTGTTATATTTACTATAAATTTCTGCTTTTTTTTCCCCCTCTCATTTCTTATTTAGGTGTATGATTGCTGATGAGGTAAGTGATGTCCATATTCCTCTAACACCATTTTCTTGTGTTAATGTACCTCATGTGCATGTGACTTTTTTGAGAGATGTGGGCAGAAAGGTTGGTAATGAAAGGAGCCTAATTCCTGTGATATTCGGCAGATATTCTGAAAATATCTAAGTGGGGAAAAAAATGAAGCCTGACCTAAGCTTAGAAGAATCTTTGAGAAAATGTGCATGGTTACTTTTAATTGTATTTAGGTAGGTTAAATCTCCTGTATTGTTAAATCTTAAAAAAATTGACAGTGCATTTTTTTTTAGCACTCTATAGTTGCATAGCTAGTTATTTTTAATGGATTAGGAGACATGCCTGGCCCAAAGAGATGGATTTTGAACAGATATGCCTGCAAAAGATGAATTTTCTTAAACACACTGATCAAGTATTAGTAGTGAAATTCATTACTTCCATACATTTGAAAATGTATACCTTATTAGGAAAAAATTATTATAGAAAAAAAAAATATTATATTAGGGATATTTGAGTCCAGCATTTCTTCCCACAGATAAAATATTTTTGTTATAGAGTATAATGTTCTTGATGTATTGTCAATATAAAACTTTACTGAAAACAAGGTAATGTTTGGGAATTGATATAGTCTCCCCATTCTAATTTGTTTTTTTCTGAAACACTGGGAGGGAGAGGGAGAGAAAGAGATGGATTACTGGTATTAAAGCATCTCCTTGTACTATGAGAATCTCATTAGAGCTGGAGATAAACTATCCTGGCATAGAATGTGAAATTTCTGGAAACTGTGGAGAATACAAAAGCATTCAGGGGAAGAGAAAGAGGAAGCTTGGGAAAAATCGAAATATCAGCAGTAGCTGTTTGTTCATTAAAACAAAGTTTCTTATTTCTTTCCTTGAATGAGAAAATAAACTGTGTATAATTATGTTAGCAATAAAATGTACTGCAAGATATATTTATTCAAAAATAAATAATGTATTTATTCCCAAATAAATAATGACAGTAGGCCTGGCACTGGAAGAAGTTTTGTGCAGCGGTGTGTATCTTGTGCTTGTTGACATATCTCTAAAAAAAGAAGAAAATGTTGGTAAAAGAAAACATCAGTATTGTGAACTTGTATACAGAAAGAAGTTATGTATGAAAACTAGAGATCATGTAATTACTGTACATATACCTGGATTATGTAATTATATAAGGACTAAAGTACAATAATAATAGTATCTTTTTGAATTGTATTCTAAAAATATGTTGCAGTTCTTCCTTGGAATAGCAGCATCTTTCATGGACAGGCAACATTTTTTCCAAAAAATTTCAGATTTTCTGTGTCATCCATTTCCATGACCGAGAAAGATGTGATTACATGAAAAACTAAGACCATAATATTTTCTGCGTTTTTTCTGTCTCACATTCTTACAGTCTAGACTGGTGATCAGCTACATGGGATCTAGATTCAGTTACAGGTGTGCTGCCGCCAAGACACCTGCATTTTATTCCCTACTCACTTCAGTTGCCTGTATCATCACCAGTGCACCAGTGACTGGGCAGTCTGAGTAGGGTGATAACTGTGACAACAAAATAAAAATGAATGTAATTTTTTTTTTTTTTTTAACTTGAATTTGTTTTCAGCTGGCTCAAGCACTACTGGTGACACAAGGGGGGCATGCAGAAGAATTTTAATGAAAACTTGGCAGTTTTTAATGAAAACTTAGTATCACAGTAGCTCTCTGATTACTTTTCTTTCTAGTAATAGTAAAAATATTCACTGTATTTTCTTCTCTACCGGTGAAATATTCTCTTGATATCATTCCATCATTTGTGTTAAACTCAATACTGAGGATATAAGTAATATCTTTTATGTCTGTACCATGAGTAGTTAAGATAACAGCAAATCAACTCAAATATCCATTGAACTCCATGGAAAACATAAACAGAGTATTTTAAGGTCAGTCTCTGATTTAGTGTTTAACAGTAGTCTGGGACTATCTTTTGCCATGTGAGCAAGTAGAGAAAATAGCTGCATTCTTTGATAAGATCTTGGGGGTTTTATTTTTTAAACAAAACCCTAAATTCTGGATCTTATATTATTCTGTTGCAATCTATATTCATAACTCATTAGATGAGAGCATTCCTACCTTGACAATATGCAGCAAGTACTTTCTTGTTAAATATATATCTATGTATTGTATCTTTACCCTTCACCTTGTCCGTAAATCTGAATTTTCCACTAGGTGTACTTCCTCTTCTGTTGTTACAGAATGAAGAGAAACTATTAGCTATGATGAAGGAAAGCAGTAGTTTCTTTTTGTTGACCTACTGGGTCAAAAGCAGAATTCTTCAAATAGATCTTCCTTTGTTCTTCAGTTGCATGTGCAACTTTAGGTCAAAATTGTCATTCTTATGTTAAGAAGACATCCCATGTTTTTCTTTCCTTTGCGTAGTCTTTTAAAAATGTTTTTGGTAGCTTAACAAGTTAAAAAGTTTGGTCTTGGTAGTCTACCCTACTATGGCCCTGAACAGAAAATCTTCTGAAATGAATGGAAATGCTGCTTTTAGCTTTAATGAGCTAACCAGATATAACATATTTATTAAGTCATGTTAAAGAGAAGCATCTTCTTTCATAAAAGATGATCTGTGATAACAAATTGACAGTGTAATAGATACTATGTAACTAGGTCTTTGGCTTTGTTTCCTTTATCTGGTTCTGTCTTTGCAAAATGTTTTTGGCTCTGCTGAATGGAATATGCTTTCTGCTATTTCAGTTGGGTTTTTTATTTTCTTTTCCCAGATGGGGCTAGGTAAAACAATTCAAGCAATTGCCATTTCCTATTACTACAAAAACGAATGGCCTCTCTTAATTGTAGTGCCTTCATCTCTGAGATACCCTTGGGTTGATGAGATGGAGAAGTGGATTCCAGAACTCTCTCCAGATGATATTAGCATCATTCAGAACAAAACTGATACGGGGTGAGTAAATATCGTTATTATTCTTTTATAGAGAGGCTTGTTCAAGCAGGGCCACCTAGAGCCAGTTGCCCAGGGCTGTGTCCAGGAGGCTTTTCACTATCTCCAAGGATGGAGACCCCACATCCTCTCTGGATAACCCGTTCCAGTGCTCAGTCACACTTGCAGTAAAAAAAAAAAAAAGTGTTTCCTGATGTTCAGAGGGAACCTCCTGTATTTCAGTTTGCATTGATTGCTTCTGGTCCTGTCACTGAGTACAACAGAAAGGAGCCTGGCTCCATCCTTTTTGCAGTCTCCCTTCAGGTATTTGTGTACATTAATAAGATCCCCCCTGAGCCTTCTCATCCCTAGGCTAAGCAGCCCCAGTCAGCCTCTTATAGGAGAGGTGCTCCAGTCCCTTAATCATCTTCCTGGCCCTTCTTTGTGCCCTTTCCAGTACATCCATGTGTCTCTTGTAGTGAGGAGCCCAGAACTGGACACAGCACTCCAGCTGTGGCCTCTCCAGTGCCGAGTACAGGGGCTCAGCCTGCTGGCAATACTTTGTCTAATGCAGCTGAGAATACCATTCACTTTCTTTGCTGCAAAGGCACCGTGCTGGCTCACGTTCAGCTCGGTGTCCACCAGGACCCCCAGTTCCTTTTCTGCAAAACTGCTTTCCAGCTGGGTGGCCCCCAGTATCTACTGGTGCATGGGGCTGTTCCTCCCCAGGTGCAGGGCTGTGCACCTCTCCTTGTTGAACTTCATGAGGTTCCTGTCAGGCCGTTTCTCCAGCCTGTCAAGGTCCCTGTGCATGACAGCACGACCCTCTGGTGTATCAGCCACTTCTCTCAGTTTTGTATTATTATATTACGGTAGTTACTAATCTCCTCTTGAAATTGAGAGGTCTGGTTTTTGCAAAGTAACTTGTCTGCTGAAAATTAGATTACTTCAGTGTGTCTCAGATTGAACATATAGAGTTATTTCTCATCTCTGATGAATTAGCTTGTATTCATTAGCTTCTGTAAAACATTTTGAACACATTTTTGGAAAACTGGTATAAATTACAAAATAAGGAAGTAATTACTGTTAAAATTTTATTTAGCACATTGAGAAAATTTGTAAGTTAGAATCAGTTTTCTCTAAATAATTGAAAAGGTCATTGTGACCTAGGCTTTCTATCTTTAGACTTAAAAGCATTAATTCATCAAAGAGAGTCTACAAGTCTTGTGTGTCATTAGAATATCTCTCCTATTACACTGAATTACAAGGGTATTTTTTAGTCTGTTTTACTGTAAATGATTTGGTTGATTTCGTGGTAATGTCTAGACCTTGTTCTAAAACTTCTGGATAAGGGAGACTGATCTTCATATTGCCTGGGGAGTATCAGAAAATGACTTGACAGCCAAGATGTGCAGATGAGGCAGTAGCTTGGAACCTTCCTTGTGGTAACCAGAGAAATCCAACTGAAAATGCATTTTAAAAGTTTAATCAAGGGATAGTTACTACTGATAGTCAAAATTTAAGTTTATCATAGAAATATGGGAGCTAAAATAAGGATCCAATGGACTTTTTTTTTTTTTTTTTTAAGTTATGTATCTAAAATGCACACAATCTTAATGCTTGTAGTGCTGAATGCAGAAAGGAGCAGTGTGGAATAAGTAAATTGCAAACAGAATTCTGTACATTTTATTTTTAAAGCTTTTTAAAAGGAATAGACCTTAACCATTATCACTTACTTTTATTCAACAACAAGGGAAGAGGACAACTTGGATTTCTGCTTGTTTAACTCCCAGGAAGCTTTCTAGATATAAATGAGGTAGCTGTCGAACTAATTAATATTTTAACATTAAAAAGTGTTTTATGCATTTGCAAGAAAATGCAAATGCAAACATGCAGCTGCCAAACTTAGTTTAGCATTTTGCTAAGTTCTGCTTCCATATGTTCAGCTTTGATTTCTCTCAGTTCAATACTTCGCTTTTCTTCAAAACTTCAGCAATGAAATTTACTTAGGCATCAGTTTAGGTTCTTATAATTTCTAACTAAATTAGAAATTGGATGTTTCTTTAATAAATTGGTTCCACTAAGAATAAATAATTTTATTTATAATTTTTTTTATCCACCCTTCACAGAGGGATAGGGGAAATTCCTGTTTTCCTGGTTGCCACTCTTATCTATACAGTAACAGCCAGAGTCTGTAGCGCATTGACTGCAGTGCCAGTGCTCTAACCATTGCTTCTTCCATATCTGGAAGCATTAATGTACGCATGCATATACGTTCTTCCTCTTAAATACTCAAGGAAACTTCAACTTAGTTTTTTAATCTGTTGCTACTGGAGAACAAATAAAAGTCATGCCAGCAGAGCGGTAGTGTCTGACAGATGGGTAAACCAGCCATGACTCTCATTCTGGTGGCTTGTTTGTCTAACAACTTTGAGTGCCTGTGCTGCTCAAAGGCTCCTGAAGGGCCACAGTGCTCTCTAGTGATTTAAAAAACAATTAGTGCCCTGGGCCTATATATGTCTTTAAATTTATTGTAAGAAGTTCTTTTCCAACTAAATACTAATTTTTCATCTTGTGCCCTGTTGACTCCCTGCTTCCAGTTTTTTGGTTGTGAGCAAAAAATCTGGATAGACAGCTGTGATATGAATGTGTTTTTTCAGGTAGTAAGGTTCTGCCCAGACTGTACTTCTGCAGTACCCAAATACTCAGAGGCAGTCTAGTTAGTCATCCTAGGCTGCTGGGAAGGTGACTCTTTTTACACAGATAGCTTGCAAAGAGACATAAATACTTCAGGTGTTTGGGTGCTGTTTACATAGCGTTCTCATAATGATCTGACTTGTGTAACTTTTTATCCAGAAAGTGGATTTGTCCCATGCGATACTCCCGGAGGGGAGCAAAAGTTGAAGCAATGCAACCAGATAGATGAACTTCCTTTTAAATGCAATGTATGTCTTCTGAAAATGGTTATGAAATGTGTGTGATTGTAAGCGTGAGATGTTAGAATGTTTTAAACAGCAAAAGTTGTTATTAGCCTGACAGCCTACTGATTAATCTATCCAAAAGGTGTCTTACTTTCTTAAAAAGAATTAGTTTGGTATAATTCCTTTGCTATATTATTTTTCCTACAATGAAAATTCACTAAGAAAACGTCTGGATTTTTTCTTTTAGGAGAATATCAACCAGCAAAGTAACGATTCTGGGGTATGGCCTGTTAACTTCTGATGCACAGACTTTAGTAGACACTTTGTACAGGCAGAACTTTAAGGTAGTTGTGATTGATGAATCACACTACATGAAATCCAGAAATGCTACCCGCAGCAAGATTTTGTTGCCAATCGTGCAGAAAGCTCGTAGAGCTATTCTTCTTACTGGAACGCCTGCGCTAGGAAGACCTGAAGAGGTATTTGACATACTGTGTTTTGTTTTGGTTTTTTAAGGATGGTATTGGTAATAAATGAACAATTTTGTAGTTTTCTTGAATATATACAATTACATGCATTATGACATCCAAGAGTGCACTAGCTGCATTAGGAAGCACAAGTATAAGAAACTAGAACAATGTATTTTAGTTTGAGTTGATTATATTGATGTTTTGCAAACTTGTTTCAAGCTAGTGCACAAGTGGCTTGAGACAGTGTTTCTTATGAGAAATTAATCTTGTATGTAACAGACTGACTGCTGGGTGAAATAGAAAATAGAGCCTTAGTAGAGAACTATTTGTCTCTACTAGGTGGGAGGGTCCTCTACTTCATCATCTGGTATCAGAAGTCCTTTGTTTATCACTGATCTTTTGAATATTCCTAATGTTCACTTGTATTGCATAAGTGGAAAAAATACATCCTGTGCTTGTTGTGGTCCAGAAAGACAAAGTTTTCTATGAAGGAAGTTCAACTTAGGGAATCGGGGAGGAGCAGAGAGGAAACCAAAAACCGCTTAGGTTTCATACTGAACCCAAGAAAACAGCTTTTATTTATCAATAATAATAATTTATAAGAAGAAGTAATAATTTATAAATAATAATAATTATATAAATAATAATTTACACTTTAGAGATTTTTGTTGTGTAAATAAAAATTATGCCAAAATGCTTTAATTTGTTCAGAGAGGTTATAACTTGAGAAAGATATCCACTGTATGAAAAAGGGCTTGGTGTATTATGAATGTTTGCTTAAAACTTTAAACCAAGTATTTATATCTGTGGGTGTGGATAATTACGAAACTTCCTGCACCTGTACCGAAGACATTGCAACCAACTCTGGAAGAAGAACTGAAGTTAGAAAGTGTTATACCTTTATACGCTGCATTGATATCAAGACCAGTAAGCAACATTGCTAAAGGTCTTCAAAGGAAACTCCATACAAGCTGTCTTCAGTCACAGTAATGGGGTTGAAATTCATGACCAAATGGAAAACAGTTTGAGACGTTTTTGTGGTGATACTGAAGTTCTGCTGTGGCTTATAAGGCAGACTGTAAAAAGCATTATGTCTCTAATAAGTTTTGTGTCATAAGTAGAGTCTTTCCACGAAGTCTTTAAATGGAATACGTGTAGAAAATGAAAAGCATTATTCATTTATATTTACTCACATTTATAACTAATACTTACAGGCAGTTTCTTGTTTGGCCAAGATCTATGTCAAAACAGCATTTCACTTGGGCAAATACATTGGTTTTGTTGGGTTTTTGTTTTCTTAATACTGCTTTTTGATTCGACTTATGTCCTGAAAGAAACCAGGGAAGAACAATATTAGGCTGTAGTAGTTTTCTTTTGGATAGAGGTCACTAGCATCTGATTAGGTAATATGAAAGCTTAAATGGCAGAAGTGATGTACAGTAGACTTAAGAGGATAGCAGGGAAACGCATTTAGGAGAGAGCCTTCTATATTACTCTTTGTCTCTATGCAGTCTCTCAACAGTGTGGATCTAGTAGTGATCTTTGTATCCAGAAAGCTTTGACAGTAAAACAGCTTGTAGAGTAGGATTCTTTCTGGCTAAGGTTGTCTAAACTGGTATTTACCTCCTGTTACTCAGTTGTGAAGAAAGGTGTGAAATTTCTGGTCAGTATTGACATCTATTTTTTTGAAGTAAAACTTAAGAATGAGTAGTTTTTCATGTATTTTAAGAAGCAGGCAATTCATGGACTACCTGCACTGAAGCTTTGCAGAAGCTCATGTACCTGGAAAATGACAAAAATTGTATTTTTAGGAATAACATCTTCTCATCTGTGTTTTCTTGTTCAGTATAAATCTCTTCCAAGTCATCAGCACTGTGTTGTGGTGTTTAGGGTGCTCTGTTCTTTGGAGGCTTCCCACAATGGTCCTGTCTCAAGACACCTGCATACTCCTATGGAATGTCTTTTACATGTATGCCAAGCTGTGTATTTTTTGTGCAACTATGGAATGTAAATTTAACATAATAATCATGTAATTATTATTTCTGAGTAGTCTTACATTTGCAGGCAGTTTTTCACTATTTCTGGCGGGGGGGGCGTTTATCCAGCTTTTCATGCAGATTGAAGCACTGTTTCCAAGAAGATTTGGAACTTGGACTGAATATGCCAAAAAATACTGCAATGCACGTGTCAGGTATTACTGTACTTACTCATTTATTTTCCAGTAAATGTCTTTGATTTTCTTGTCATGTGAAATGAGAGAACCAGGAAGTAGTACCTCTATTGTTGTAGTGTACCATCTTGCTTGGAAAGCTAGGGTCAGAGATACCACCTCCTCCATCAAGGAGGATCGGGAAAAGGATTAAATTGATGGGAGACTTTATTTGAGGACAAAATTGGAAGCTATTAAAATTTTAAATAAAGTTCAAGTGCCGGGATTCTGTTGAGTAAAATGATTTACAAATTTACTGTTGTTACTATTAAGTGTATAGGTCTTACCTTTAGATCTGGAGTTTCAGTTACAGTTTAGTCTTATGCTCAGCTTCAGTCTCATGCTCATATCATGTAGTAATTTACATCTGTCTTTATTATGTGATCCAGTCTTTTTGCTATCCCACCATACTTGGGTGGAAAAGAAGTCCAATACTTGTCTTGATATTTTACAGATTGACTTAGTGAAAATAAAGCCATAAAACTCCCAAAAGGACAGTAGTGTGTTTTGTAATTCTGCTTGAGGGATCAAATATAGGTACTGTAAGTTCTTATCTACCACCTTGCCTCCAGTTTGCTAGGTAACATTGCTCATTACACATTTTTCCACACATGTGCCTAGTATATTTTAACCTATTTTTATCCCTGGCATTTTACATGAATTTTCATGTTTCATGTGCTTTAAGTTACTAACTTAAGGAGAACTCATTTCCCTGTGACTTGCTTCCCTCAACTTTAGTTTAATGATTGGTTTCTCTAGCTATATTCTAAAAGAGTGGATAGAAGTAGCTCTGATTTAAAATGCTTAGTTTTATTCATCTGAACCTATATTGCAGTCTGGAATGAAAGAAGTTATGAGAAGGGAAGAACCTTTAAAAAAATTCTTAGGTAAAAAATTTCTTCTCTACAACTTTGCACATATTCAAAACAATAGATTTTGTCAGCTAAACTGGCTGGCATTTAGATTTTTAGAGTAATAATTCCATTATTTCATTTTCATATAACTTGCTTTCCTCCCTCCATCATACGCATTTCATAAGCATTTAACTTCAAATAACATGGAAGAGTGCTGTCTAATTTTCAGACAGAGAAATGCTATTTTTTCCATGGTGTTTTGACTGAATACATCTGTAATTTTCACACCACAAGTGTGCGTGGGTGCAGCATGGTTAGCTACTCAATCATAGATGATTATCTTATTTTTGGAATACCATAAATGTAATAAAAATCAAGTTCAGGGTTTGTCAAGCTTTCAATAAATAACTTTGTCTTCATGACTTGGCTGAAACAAAACATCCTGTGGTAATAAACTTGATAGGATTATTTTATGCAGCACTTTCTGTGAAAATGTTGTAAATTTTTTTACTTAGGTGTTCATAGACACCTGTTTCTAAAGATAAGGTCCAAAGTATTCTGTTAGGTTTTGCCTACCATTTATTTTATATCCCAAATGCTCAAGCTGGAGGGAGGAAACCTTTCTAAGGGCAGCCATATAAATAGACCAAATAAGGGATACGAGCAGAAGATGTTGCTGTCTTGTATCTACATAGCATTCTAAGTGTCTTATGCCAATACTTCACCAGTGTAGAAGTGAGTCCCTCAGCCCCTTTCTCATATGATTATAGGCAGCCAACTAGAACACTGTTGATAATCTCAGTGTGGTTTAAAATTCCCTAAATGATGTTTGGGTTAAAAACAAACAAACAAACAAACAAAAAACAGAAAAAAAAACCAAAACCCCAGTAAAATTACATGCTTGCAATGTACTCCCCTGCCCTTGGAAAATCTTACCTGAGCTTTTCTCTAAAGGCAGCAAAACCTGTCATGCTCCTTATTTTGTTATCTCTTGGCAATGTTGACAGAGAGAAGTTGCTATCCCTGCTGCAACACTTCCTTAAAAACAACAAAGCCAAGGAAGACTAAGCTAATAATTTCTTTCTTTTTCCAATCTTTAGCTTTTTAACTTTAAACCTACTTCCTCTATTTAACGTTGCTCATTATATAGTATTACATTTAAAGATGGTACCTTAAGCTCTAAATCCTGTCTCTGACTGTAACCAGGAGGGAATTCTCAGCGAGGAAAACAAAGGAATATTAATGGTGATATTTACAGCTTTGATGATGCTTCCCCTGTCAGTTGTTCCCCTCTATAATATAATAGAGCATTCTCATGGTGGCATGTTCTTCTCATTAGTCCATTGAAACAAGAGTTATAAAATTATACCTGAAACTTCTGCTTCCTGTAGAAAGGGAAGTAGAGCTGGGATGATAAAGAGGACTTCATGCATCTGATGGGTAGTATTGCTTGTGGGCAGCAGTATCTGTTGGGGAGTTGAAACAGCTCTGACTTTAGTGTTGGAAGGAATCAGACAGAAAGCAATCATCTCTGTGCTGTAAACAGGAACACCAAGTGTTGTTATCCAGCACATAGCTGATAGTGTGGTTTAAAATTAATTATGTAATTTTCTGTTACATTTGGAAGAGATTTTTCCCTCAGTGTTGATTTTTCATTTTCAGGTTTTTTGGTAAAAGAACTCAATGGGACTGTAGAGGAGCTTCAAATTTAGAAGAACTACATCAACTTTTAAGTGAAATAATGATCAGAAGACTGAAGAAGGATGTTCTAACTCAGTTGCCTCCCAAAGTTAGGCAACGTATTCCATTTGACCTCCCACAAACTGCAGCTAAGGTAAATTTTTCACTTCTGCTAAAACTACACTTGTTAATAAATAGTAGTATCTATGTATTCGTATGTGTTTATATGTATGCATGTCTATTATATGTAGTTACAAAGAATATGTGAATATATGACATAGCATCTCTGTTATTTTTAAAATATAACATGAAGAACGTGAATATAGCAACTTTTTGGCATCAGATAATGATAAAATTTGCTGTAATTTTAGTACAATCTTCTTCTTCCCTTCTGTCTTCCTTTCCCTTAGATTTTGAATCCTACAGTTACTTTTAGGCAAATTTGATAGAATTCTCAAAAGCACTCAGTTCCTAAATGTTTCATGATTGAAATGTACATGTTGAGATTGAACATCCTTTGTACAATATATCTAACCACGGATCTCTTCTGCCAATTAGAATTTGAATACCACTTTTGCAGAGTGGGAGAAATTAATGAGAAATCTGAATTCAGATGCCACTGAAAGCCACTTTTCTCAAGTCATGAATCTAATCACACGCATGTATAAAGAAACAGCCATTGCCAAGGTAAGCGCTGAAATCTTTTCTTAAATATGTTTAAAATGCCCAGTGTGTTTTTAACTTCATAAAATTAGTTGTATTGGCCTGCATACTAGATGAGGTTGGTTGGTTTGTTTTATAATCACGATGTGGAGAATCACTCCCTTCTTCCCTCAATGTTTATGGAATAGGCTGAACCCCATTATAATCACGTGAGCTAAGTGTTAAAACTGTTACTGATACCCACCAAGCTGGCTGAGACTATCCAGACACAGTGTCCCAGCAGCACTAGATGTATGTCTCAGACGTAGGGATATACTGAAGGTGGGTACTTCAGGGACATACCTGTGTGTCAGCAGCTGCCACAGCTGACCCAGGACAGTGCTGGTGCTGCCCTTACGCAGGCGGCATTCTGTCAGTACTGGTTCTCCCCATGGATAAACATGGAAGAATAATCCCCTCTAGCTGCTCTCTTTCTGTTTAATCAAATGGGACCCCATGTTCTGCATTTCTTCCTATAGAACTGTAGCTTAAGATTTAAGGGAAAACAAGTTAATGACCAAAATCTTTTACATGCCTACTTTTTACCCTGCTATCGGGCTTCATTATGCTAACCTATTTTTAGGAAAGGATAGGGGAAAAAAAAAAGAAGGTCTGCAGGCTGCTGGAGCAGGAAGAGTGGAGAATCTGACCAAGTCATTCACATTTTTTTCTCCCTGTCTTAAAAATATCACTGCGGTTCTGTTGCTATTTCTTCCCCACTTTTCTAGTCTCTCCCCTCTGGTAGTCTATTTTAAAACGGGAAGTTGAAACACAAAGAAAGAGAGAAAAAAAGAAATCAGACGACTGCTGCAGTGGGTATTCCATTAACCATTGATCACTGATAAATTTAATTATTAACTGTCATCATTACTTTAATAGCTTTTGTAAAATATACTGAAAATTATATTTGACACAAAAGAATTCGATGAATGTTTAAATAGAGCAATATTTTATGATTATGGTATCGTGAAAGTATCAAAATTATTCTTTCAGCTTTGATATATGGCTTTATGTGGGTGCAGATACAGAAGTTCTGTGTTGTGGTTTGAGCCTGCTCAGCAGATAAATGCCACGCAGTCGCTCACCCACTCTCCCCCATTTGGGAATGGGGAGGGAATCAGAGGGGCAAAGGGAGACTCACGGGTTGAGATAAAAACAGTTTAATAACAGTGACAGAATAATACACTGACAGCAGCATCAACGGGTAATGCACAATACAGCTGCTCGACACCCGCCTGCTCCGGGCCAGCCATCCCAAACACAAAGGCCCCACAGCCACACTCCCGGAAGTGAGAGCCCCTCCTGGCCCACTCCTGCCTTTATATAGTGGGCACAGTGTCACGTGACATGGGATATCGGCCAATCGGGGCCCAGCCCTCCAGCTGTGCTCCCCCCGCCCCCGCACACGGGTGAGGGCACTGGGCCCTGGGGAGCCCCCGGGGTCTCAGGGGGCTGCAGCTCCTCCTGCTGCCAGACCAACGGGAGCTCTAGGCCAGCCCCAACCAGGACATTCTGATTAAACAATACCTTGTCCATTTGAAAGATGTTTGGGCAGAAATCAGTTTTCTTTTTTTAAAAATATGGCTTAAAACATCAGATAATGATGTTGTAACTAAAAGGGGTTTTATCTACATTCTAATCTGGAAGAAGTGCCATGTAATTATGGGATCCTCTGAGGACAAATGGGTGTTTTTTCTCTGAAGGAATAGGTTTCTCAGAGGCATAAAGTTGTGGTATTTTTATAAACAAAATTAATTTGAATAATTTTATACTCAATGATATTTGTGTTTTCTTGTTATCCATTTAAGACTTCATCAAAAAGTGTGGAAATTTACCTGTTCATATTACGAGAAACTGCAAAACAATAAAGTAAAAACGGTCTTTTTTTAACTGCTTGTATGTTTAACTAATGAAAATGCCCTCTCTTACTCCAGGCAGGAGCGGTAAAGGACTATATCAAAATGATGCTTGAAAATGACAAACTGAAGTTTCTAGTTTTTGCTCATCACTTAAGCATGCTTCAAGCCTGTACAGAGGCAGTTATAGAAAATAAGGTAATGATATAACAAATGTGCACACAAATATAACTTCAGATTTTACAAATACACGAGCTGTGTTTGAATTCAGTAGAACTACCTGTGTGCACAGGAATTTATGGATTTTAACTATACAGAGTTCAGTGCTGCTGGACTAAAAGGGATCGTGTGGTTTTGAATAACCTTTTTGTGTTTGAGGATAATGTAAACACTCGTATCTGGTATGATACTTTCTTATTATTGAATCAGTGTTGTAGGCAGTTATTTCCCGAAGTTTTTCTACCAATGTGGTTCTGTCTACATTTTTTTTAACAGAACACTATCATCTCAACTGAACGTTTAGTTCAAAGCAGTAAAAATGTTTACAAACAACCTTCGTGTTACTTTGATCATGGATTCTCAACTTTGCTAGGGAACAGTGGCTAACTTTGCTATTTTATATTGTTATTATTTTGCAAATTCCTTGAATTTTAATAAATCATGTCAGGGAAATTACAGGTTCTTCTGTGGAGTATTCTGTAGTAAGATCCCATGTTCGTTCTGTCTTCTCCTTTTGTAAACAGGTAATACTAAGTCTACATTTCTCTAGATAGAGACTTACCTGTAAATCAGAGGGCAAAAGAGTACTGATGCATCCCTATCCCCGTGACAAGAATAGAACAGATGTTTTCATATTTTCATTGTGGGACAGAGAATGATTGGCTCCAAAAATAGACACTGATAATGTCATTTTGTTTCTATTGCGATATGTTATAGGTTCGCTACATACGAATAGATGGAAGTGTTCCTTCCTCAGAAAGAATACATCTTGTTAATCAGTTTCAGAAGGATCCTGACACCCGGGTTGCTATTTTGAGTATTCAGGCAGCTGGTCAGGTAGGACAAAAAAGAAAATACGTGAAATAAGAAACTTTAAAAATGTAGGTACTAAAGTCATTGGTGATTGAAGTAATTTAGTGAAGGCAATTTATCTTCATGCAATGTCTTTTGTAGACTCATGTATTCAATTTTTTGCACTAACCATGTTACCTGTTTTAAGCCTCTGTTGAAATTACTTGAGCAAAATCAAGATAAGCAGCGGCAACTCACTCTTGAATAATTAGAAAAAACTCCATTTCTCTAAAAGCACCACATTCATAAGAAATTAATATTACTTCCATAATGAAAAGCAGTATGCAGTCTTTGCACAATATTGAAGTATTTTTGAATCTTACTTACATCTATCTGAAGGCCCAAGGAAGAAATCAGCGTAATAGGCCCATCTGCTGTTGGGGTGGTCCCTCTTATTTCCATATAAAAATGTCCTGTATAAGCTTTGGTTTTCTTTTAATTCAGATATTCAGTTGCTTGTGTGTGGGAATTTTTTTCTAAAATGCATTTACTTATTTTGTTTAGGGTTTAACTTTCACTGCTGCTACTCATGTTGTGTTTGCTGAATTATATTGGGATCCAGGCCATATTAAGCAAGCAGAAGACAGAGCACACCGAATTGGGCAGTGCAGTTCTGTGAATATTCACTTCCTTATTGCAAAAGGAACAATGGACACTCTTATGTGGGCAATGCTGAATCGCAAGGTATGTGTGGAATAGAACCAAATAATCAAGAACTCACTGTGGTTAAGATAACACTTAAGTGCGTGTGCCAAAATACATTCTTGCTTATCTGGATCACTCTCCTACTATAAGACAAATTGATACACCTAGAACTGCTAAACATTAAAATGTCCATGTCTGTTCCAAATTAGGCTTTTCTAGCTTTTTACTCTCCATTTAAGATCCAAAGATAAACAAGGTAGCTCTTTGCTGAGATGAATGGGATAGTTCACATCTACAGGATATCATTGCTTTATCTTCCTTCTAGCTTGTTATTGCTTTGGTTGTTCAGTTTACAATTTTAAGGTTTTTTTGCATAATAATAACAGCTGGAGTTTGTTGGCTTTGTTTTTGTTTAATTGGATGAATGTTGTGCCTTACTAAACTTAATTTCTGAGAGGCAGAAGCATTCTCAAATAATTCTTCATCAAACCCAAAGTTCCAGTGATCTGATCTTCTGTTGCTGTTTTCCTCAAGTGTTACCCAGTCCTTGTTAGGAGGAGTAATTCTGTCCTACTTTCTTCCCTTCCTTGGAAGATATTTGAGATTTCACAGGACTGAGAAAAATTTGCCTGTTTTGCTTTCATGACCTTTTTGTAGCCTTTGATACCATTATTTAGTGTCTTGTTTTGATAACTGAGGTGTGTTTGTTTTCTGTCAGCTCTTGTTTTCTTACATTTCCAGAAGTGTCATTGTAGAAGGGAACTGCCTTTTAAACTCTAGTTGTCAGAATTGTTTGAGACTGTGGTTACACAGGGTTTCTTCTGATACAAATGTCGACTTATGGTGGTTGTTCCTGCATTTGGCTACCCCTGTGTTGTAGTGGTGCGATTGTGTCCATATGGTTAGTAGAGAAACTGCTAATCATTTTTTTGCCAATATATTCCTCTCCTGCTGAAAAGTAAGCACAACTTAAAGAATCTAGGCACTGCAAACTGTATTTGACATTCAGTTGGGGAATGAATCTCTCTATTCTAATTCCTGCAGGTACCTCTGAAAAAGAACTCAGTTCATTACATTAAGAGTCTCCATAAACATGGCACAGATGGGTCTCGGTAATTTACCAACAATTTATTGTACAAGGGTTCTGTCACTAAACTGCTTTGAATTAATTCTGCCTTTGTTTGTTTCCATGTGCCGAGCAAAACATGTAAAGACTGTAAGAGATGTACACAATGTATATATTCTCTTTTAACTTCAATAAATACTGACATTTTGCATACAACTTTTCACAAGTTGTAGTTTGTTAAATATGCTACTTAATGTCCTTCTTGCAGAGGTGGCTGCTGGAAAAGGAGTTATTTTGAATTACTACAGAGTTTCTTACTTTGCAAATGCTGAATTAAGTTTACAAGGGAAGCAAATTGAGTGAATAAATTTGTTGCAACATGTGAATGCTTTGGAAACTTTATGCAAGCCTTCTTTCTGCAGGCCAAAGTAACAGGCAGCACCTTGAATGGCAAGAAAGAGAAAATGCAGGCTGAGGAAGGTGATAAGGAGAAATGGGATTTTTTGAGTTTTGCCGAGACCTGGACCCCAAATGAAAGTTTAGAAGATCCCAAAAATGAACTTTTGTTTACTCATGTAAGACTTGAAACTTTGTTTTCAGTTTTCTTTCACTTAAAATTATAACCATTGTTCACTTAAGTTTTCTGTGCACTACTGTTAGTGTTTTACTAATAGAGAAACACTAAAATGGGAAAAAAGTAGTGTAAATTCTATTTTAAAAATGAGTGAAGTTGGGAAAATTTCATTGCTGGGTATAAATGTTATCTACAGGCTTCTGATGGGTCCTTCTGTTACGTTTACGTGACTGACCCACCCTTAGAGTCAGATAAGATGAAGGAATTTCTGTTTAAATTATAGCTTCATTAGCTGTCCTGAGTTTAATTGCCTATTATTTTAAAAACAGTGTTTAAAAGCCTTTCCTTGTAATAGACATCAGTAAAAAAGGCACATGGTATACCAGTCCTGTGTATTTGTTTTCTGATAGTGCTATTTCAGAATTTTCATGAGAAGATTGAAAATACTTTTTATAAAACAGAAGAGGAATGTTGAATTGCTCTTTCTGCTAGCTGTTTGTTCTTAAAGGAAGATACCTTTTGTTTCCATCTCCAAACTAAAAACAGCTTCTTGTACTAGAGAGTATTATTAGCAGAGAAAAATCATAATTTTAACAGCTTCTGATGCAGCAATTATAAGTGGGGTTTACATATGTCTTTCCTCTTTCCTAGTTTGAAAAGGAAAGACAGCATGACATACGTTCTTTCTTTTCCCCAAAATCCTCCAATGAGAAGAAACGCAAAATATTTTCTGGTAATGAATCATTACATAATGATTCAGAATCTTTTGAAGTTACAAAAGAAGAGGATGAAGAGAAGAGCAATGAAAACCTGGATTCTACAACAATAGGTGACGTGGATACAATTTGTCATGAAAGTACCTGTGAACGTGAAGCTAAAAGAGCAAGAAGCATGAGTGGATCTACTCCAGTCAACTCCAGCAAGAAAAAACAAAAATCTTTGACTGGAAAAAAGCCCTCTTTGTTTTCAGAAAGAACCTATGAAGTCTTACCTTGTGACTTAAATACTTCAAGCAAAAGTATGGCTTTAAATAAAGTTTGGCACTGTAGTGTTTGCACTTATAGTAATAATGAATTGCTCCCTTACTGTGAAATGTGCAATTGCCCTCAAAGCAGTAATGGTAAGTAACATATGCTGCAGAGAAAAGTATTCATTTTTTTGTTTCAGTTGTGACTAGTTTCAGAACATATAGTATTTTTGAATATATGAATATACACAAATCCAGGCAAAACATGAAGAATGGTGTCTGTACGTGAGCTGATACCTGTTAAGTGATCCTTCTTAATTTTGTTTTCCCCGAGGATCTTTTACATTATTCTAATTTGAAACAAATGAAAAATTCAGTTAATGTTAACAGGTTATAAATTCAGTGAGGAAGAATACATGCTCAGTTTTCTTTGCAGCAAATGTAGCTTTCCTTTTCCTTGAGGTTTATGATTATTCTTAATCTAATTAAATGGCAAACTTTTTCTCTACCTGTCAAAACTAAATTCTATGGAATAGATGTTTTATTAACTAGGGTATTGTATATTTGTTGAGAGACATTACCTGGAAAATGTGGCATTTCTTGTTCCAACACGTCAGAGCAGATGTATTAAATTTATTTAATCTATCTGGAAATTTATAAAACATTTTTATAAATCTGTCCCCATATTTTCCATTTAAATTGCAAAGGAAGGAGTGATGGTTTGTTTTGTTTTGGTTTGGTTTTTTTTTAATTTTATTTAAGTCTATGTGCTTGTTGAGGTAAGGACAACTTCTGAATTTAACATGTATAGATCAATCCATGAAAAACTACTTTGTGTGCTTATGGTGCACGATAACTGTATATAATATAGAATTGCTAACTGCATTATTTATTGCATATATTTTGACATTAAGTTGGGTGCATGAAACTGCATAAATGGAAAACTCTGACCCATGTGTTTATTCTCCTAATATAAAAGGTAGCTCTAGTTTCCTAAGTGGTTGCACCATTAGAGAATAAAATGCAATCGTATTTCAGTTACCTAGTCCTGTCCCCAGATGTGTACTGACTAGGTTCCTGTTTGTACAGGTAGCATAAATAATTGCTTTTCTTGTTTCTTCACCTATAGTTGAGAGAAACTGTGAAGCTACTGCTAGCCAGACTGAGGAAGATGTGTCAAAGGACTCCAGAAGTGAAGAAAGCACAGTGTGCAGTGCTGAAGATAGAAGAGAAGATTCTGGGGAAACGGTGACCCAGCAATTTGTTGAAATCAGCAAACAGGAAACTGTTGCAATTGAAAATGAAAAAAGTGAAAAAAAGTGTGGAGAAGGTAAAGTGGGACTCCTATGAAAGAAATATTATATTCCATTGCAAAACCGTATTAAATGCCTCTGGGATGAAAACTAAATTTTAAATGAAAGCCTACACATTTGAAAGATGGACTGGAGTACATACACTAGCACATGACTTTCCCATTTTAGCCTGGGATGTTTATTGAATTTTGATGATGGATAAACCTGGCATTTCCATAGAACTCCTGAAGCAATACAGAGGTTTTGGCTGACATAAGAACTATGTCAAACTAACAACTGTGAACCTGTACAGTTTTATTGAAACTTACGATGGCATTTACTTGTGTTCAGGACAGCCCCAGGCAAAACAGATGATAGGTAATTCAGAAGAAACAGAAAAGTAAAACACACAAATATCTTAATAGCTTGCTGCTTGAGCTGTGTATCTTATTATGTTGTTCTGGAATTAGATACAGAATCCTCATGTGGTATATATTCTCCTGGGTTTTGTTCCAGGATTGCTGAATATTTGAAGAAAAAATAGAGAGAAAAATTTAAAATATTCATACAAAATTGTGTTTGCATTTACACCAAATTGGGAAATTTCACAAGTAACATCTTAAGAACATGTATAATATTTTTTTTTTTAATGTCTAAGTAGACTGAATTAAATGAATGAAGGAAAAACACTTTTTAATGTCAACATAATTTCTCTTTATAGGAGATGTAGATGAATCAGATGCATTTCCAATATATGATGGTCTTATGTTTTGTGCAAGCAGGAATACTGATAGAATTCACCTCTATACAAAGGTAAACCTGAAATATGCATGTTTATTATGATTTTAAAATTACGAAGTAAAATGTTGTCCTACTAAATGTTTATATATACTTCCGTTTGTTAAATTTTATATAAAAAGACCAGTATTTTTGTATTAGCTGAAATGTACAAAAATTAGGTAGCTTATCATTGTAGTTCTTTTTCTGAGTGGAATTAAGTAATAGTTCCCTAGATATATAACTTCTAACTCTTCTCTTAGCTTACAAAATGGGGCTAATACATTAGATGAATGCTCAGGTCATCTGTTAGAAGTGCAAGTGATAGTTGTTTTAAATTCCTTTTTTCTTATAGTGTCTTATCACAAAATATTTTAATAGAACATTCAAAATTAAAATAAAAATGACAGTGAATCCTGACAGACTAAGGAAGTAAATAAAATAAAATCTCACCACATTTTCAGAGAGCTAGACACTGATGCTGTGTATAAGCCAGTAACTTCCTGAATAAAACACATTATCATTAATCTGCAATGGTAATGGGAGTACAGAAACTAGCAGTTGATAATTTTCCAGGTTATTTTTCAAGGGAGAATCAGGACATCCCAATTCCTTCTTTTAAGGGATAGAAAAGTTCACTGAGATTTCTCCAAAGCCACTGAATGAGACGTTATATTCAGGTGCAACAGCAAAGCACCACAAAAAAACTCAGGGGAAGCCTTTGAGATAATACATTTTTCTTAGGCTAACTGATACAGTGGGGAAAAAACTCAAGAGTGTGTCTTGTATATGAAAACTTAATATACTTAAAATATATGAAAACTTGTATATGAAAACTTAATATACTTAAAATATACACAACTTCCGAGCTTCACACAATTTACTCTAAGACAAAGATGCATTTTGGATGGTATTTGGGCAACTGTGAATTGGTCTGGGTTGATTTTGGCTTGGATTAGAGTTTCATTGTGCCAGATACTGCACAAAATCTTTCTGAATGATGCGACACCAGGGAATTCTGCTTTGATTGCTTCTCTCGAATGTTTGTGAATCATCAGTAAGTTCCTGGGTCATATGTACCCACTGGAACAACTTATTCTTTAAAAATTAAGTGGAAGAGAAATTGTTCAGACATTAAAAAAAAAAAAGTAAAGTATAATAAACATTGTTCTGTCTAAGATTCTGACTTTAAATCATAATGAAGTGACATTTTCCAGCCTACAATCATTCATTTTCCTTGGAAATTCAGTCAAGAGAATTATAATTTCAGTTTCCTAATTTTAAGGCAGTTTGTGTCTGAACTATTTGCAAAGAAGAAAATTCAGATATTTTCAAAGTTAAAATTCTCACCCTGTTTAGATATATTAATGTGAATTGTGTTTCTTGTATCTGTGGTATTATCATATGTCTGTGTCTTTTGGGTTTTTTTCCTGGAAAAAAAATCTTACCTTGAGGGTAGGAAGGGAAGATAATACACTTGAAACAGAATTTTTTTTTGTAGATTATGCTACATTGCATCTGTAAACAAAACTGCTTTTCTAGGATGGTGAACCACTGAATCATAATTTCATCCCATTGGACATACAGCTGGATAACTGGGAGGATTTACCAGAAACTTTCCAGTATAAACGAAATCGTTCATTGGTAAGAACGAATTCTACTGGCACAGTAATATAATATTTAATGCAGAGGGCTTTGACTTTTTTTTTTTTTTTTTTTTTAAATAAATGCAGAACACTTCCAGGCCTTGGAATCTAGGCACAGTTTCATTAATGTAAGCAGATCTTATAAATGTTGATGTGAATATTAATTATGCAGTCTGTTACCTTGGCAAATTATCATGCCTCCTGTTAACATTTCGGTAGATGGACTCAACCAGGCATCATGTAATTTCTCATTTACAGGATTAGTAACTAACATTCGTAAGTCAACAAAATAACATTTTAAAGGTTATGAATTAAACAGGGCACATTAGGAATAAAAATGTGTTAGATTGTATCAGAGCTGCAGTTCGGAGCAGGCCTCCACTCTCACTTCTTCCTTTGGTCTTCTAACAGTTTTCAAAGCAGTGTAGGGCACAGCTCCACTGAGGCATGTAGCTGCAGTTAATTCAGTAATAAAGATCACATTCATAAAGGTGTTTGAGAATATTAACACAGTAAATCCCAGTAGTCAAGTAAGGAAATATAGAATTTCAATTGGATGTGCAATATTATCTGCTTAACATGATTTTTTTAACTGTTTTTCTCCGTTTAAGGAGAGATATGATTTGGAAAATTAGATTCTATCATGTAGGAACAAAACTGATTCTTTTTGGTAGTTTCTTCAGCAAGGTTGGAACTTAAATTCGTAAGAGAGATACCTGACTGTTTCAACCAACAGTTTTGTGAAGCATCTAATGAGTGGGTAACGCAAATGTTACCAAAAGATTTCAAAGCTATTTGCTAGACTGAAAAGACAAGTTAAGAATCCCATGTTTGAGGGCAGGGGGTGGCATGGCCTTATGGAACTTCCTGTCCCTCAGCCTTCTCCTCTAGATTAGAAGATCTATATTAGTAAATGCTCCCCAAAAGAAACAAGGAAATACCTTCTTGCTTCTGTTTCCATTACATCCTGCCATTTCATTGGCTTCTTTCTTGCTGCTCTGACTCAGAGGAAGTGAGACTCATCTGTACACTTTTACATTTGCCATGTAAAAATACTCCAAGGAGAAAAAAATCATTGCCATGCTGTAATCTTGAAGTATGAAAGTTTGTTCCTGGAAAAAGCTGAAGTCACAATTACTTCCATACTGAACAATATATTTATTATTCCCTTAGTCCATGTTCAGAAAGAAGCGTGATACTGACTCCTATGGGTAGTTGCAAGTCAGTGGGGAAGAGTGGAAAAACAGAATGAACTCCCATAACAGTCCTGTTTACATATATAAATGAATATATATATGTAATATATAAATAGAATATAAAGGTCTCATTTATATTCTATGGTGGAAATGAGGATGGGATGAAATAATTTTTCCCCTACACACTTCCTAAAGCAAACAGCCATGTTATAAATTCTAAATTCCTATGTAGAACAGCTTTTCCCTCACTTCCTCACTGTCCTTAGGTTATAGTTATTGGGGAAATCCATTAATCAAAGCAGCTCTGTCCCTTTATGGCTTCAAAGGATTTTTCTGGCTTCCCAGCCTGTAAGAAAACCTATTTGATTCAGTACCAGAAATTGAGTTCCTCTGAGCCTCTTTATTATACTTAAAAATTCTAAATGCGAAATAAGGAAAGGTGGTCAATATTGTGCAGTAGTCTCCATTTCCCTTCTGACATACTTTGTCAAACAGTTCATCAGTTTTTCCCCAGGATCCTGTGGTTGTGTCAATTTGGGATTGCTGTGAAAGAAGATGAAAGGCAGGTTAAACTGCTCTAAACTGTTGTCCTTTGACTATTTTGATGGTAAAGCATGTCTCTACTTGCCAGTGAGATTTTTGTGCGCTACACTGAAATGCCACAGAAAAAATGAGGATAGCAGTATTGCCATAAAAACAGATGCATTAAGATAATTTGGTGATCTGATTTCTCATGTCATTAATTGCTAATTTACTATAGTAACTTTTATTACATGTGTTTTTCTGACACTGCATTATTATGAAGGAATATAATTTTGAAGCATGTCAGTAAATCCATTAAAATTTTACAAGTTGGAAAACATCTGTTGAGAAATGGACTAATACCTAGTTGAATTGAACAGCTCTTCCAGTTTACCTGTAGCTAAGCCTTTCACACTGACATTAGGGGCTATACACTACAGATTGTTAATCCCGTGTTTAGCATGTGTCAGAAGGTTAGAGGAAAGAAGAAAGGTTGTAAACCCAATTATAAATGCTGTTCAAGTAATGGGAGCAAATTTTCCTTTCCTGAGAGACCGGCTGTACCAGGAGGATGGCTGCCGTAAGAAAACTCCTTTGTATGTTAGTTTTTGCCATCTGCAAAGTCTCACATACAGAGGAAATGTTTGCCTGAGGCTTTATCAAGAAACCTTTCTTCTACCGCTATACCTTAGATTAGTAAAGGCCATTTCTGGCCATATTTTCTACCTTCTGGATCAACAGCCTTAGCAAAACCATGCCTGTAGTCAATGACAAAGCTGTCAGAGTTCTTCAGCAGGTGAGGGTGGAGGGTTGCAGCTTGTATGAAAAAAAAAGAAGAGTTGAAGGGACCATCTCCGATCATACCAGCTGTTTTCATCCAGTTTAAAATGTGTTAATTCATAGCACTCTTTCACTGTAATTAAATAGTTTTTTGTAATGCCTGTCATGCTGCTGACAATAGCATTCTCTACTAGATACTGAGGTTTGTGAAGGAATGGAGTCATCTAACAGCAATGAAACAGAAGATTGTCAGAAAGAGTGGTCAGATATTTTGTAGTCCTATTCGTGCTGCAGAGGAGTTGTCTAAAAAGCAGTCGGTGGTCAGCAGCACAAAAAGGTATGTGCTTTTTCATTTTTCTTCCTCTTACTAATTGCTGCAGGAAGTCTGATATAACGTAACTCTCAGTGGAATGATGCTGAGACTGTAAACTGCTTGTTCGATGATTGCTTGTCACGTAGTGACAAACGTAGGTGACCGAGCAGGGCAGTAAATCTGTCGGATGGAAGTGTCTGCTTCCCTGTCCGGCACGGCTGCATTCAGCAGCTGCTCTGGCTTTGCTGCACTCCATGTTTAAACATCTGGAACTGGCCAGAGGTTTTTTTAGGAAAAATCTTGACCTCAGGGACTCAACAGAAAAGTCAAAGAATCTTGTTGTTTTCCCCACCTGGAAGCAGAAATAAATCATTAGTTGCCATCGGTGCTATAATGTTTTATTCATAACTCACAGCCTACTCCAACCCTTTCTGATACTCATTTTTAATTGGAGCAATTCTGTTCTCTGTGGATGACACTTCTCAAAGCTTACTGTTTTCCTTGCCGGGTGTCACTGAAAAGGGCTACTGTTTAAGCCTTGTTAAAAATCTAAATTTACCTTTTTTTTTTTTTTCCACTTTATTTCCTTTTTCTGATACGCTGTCTTCCCTGACAGACATTTGCAGCTTCAGTGTTGTCATTGCTCTCCACAAAACTTTTCATGTGTATGGTTACTTGATCATGGTTAACTCACCAAGGTGCCCCTGCAAACTGTCTAAAACCTTTTTATACTTCTTAGTCCCTACTGTTAAATTCCCCGGGGTGACTCTGGCTATAGTTAAGAATTTCAGTAAATAGAGTTTCTAATTCCAGCAATATAAGGAGAAGCAGCAGGTAGTAAGTGTTTCTTAACCTGTTGCTTGATTGTGTCCTCCTGTAAAATGTAGGAAGGATCTAACTGTGAACTGTGTTAGAAAACCAACCATAACCTACAGCGACCTTCTAAGGCAGTGTGTAGGGTTTGGCACGTGTATGCTACAGAGGGATGTACTTAAGTTGTCTGAATAGTGGTTTGTGGAAGAATGATCAGTGTGAAGCGATTTTTTTAAAAAGTTTTACTTAAAAGCAGTGGTGTTTTGTATGTTTTCACATTAAAATAAAGAAGTGAGTTCAAGCATAACTAAGGGAGCAAGGAGTCCTCCAGAGCTTGTACAGCTTCCTGGGTTATCTAGAATGTCAGTGAGACCGCACCGAACTGAAACAAAATGGCTTCCAGATTTCACTGCCAGGCAATACCAAGTTGCTTTCGTTTTTTAAATTGCTGTATGCAAAACAGCTCATCTGTTTGCTGGTTAGAGGTGAATCTGGTTTTAGAAAAAGATCTCTTATTTCATATGGAAGTATTATGCTGAAGTATGTTTTCCCAAAATTTATTCTTTTCTCATCTTCAATGTTTTAAGAGGATATGCTGTACCAACCTTGCTGCAGCTAAGTGTGATTATTCTTTGAGGGAGATTGTTCCCTTTGCACCATACTGACAAATTTTTCATTATTTTAGGTACGTGACCAAGGAGGATGTAGCAGCAGCCTCACTTAGCAAAGCTAGCAGCAGCGGGGGCAGCGTTCGCCTCATCTCGAAAGAAAGTGGGGTTTGTCTGAAGAATGACAGTGCTTCTCTTGAACCATCAGGTCATTCCACAAAGTAAGTTTATTAATGTAATAAGGTGATTAAGCTCCTCACAGATTTTTTTTTTTTTGAGGTAGCAAAATAATTTGCTATGAGTGTTTACCTTGCTGAAGTACAGTGTTTAGATAAGAAATGTGCTGTAGTGCTGACGAGTGATGTTTTATTCTTACAACAATTTAGTTTGCATCTGTTGTCTGCTGATACAGCTGCTAATTAACTGATTCTGATTGAAACAAAACAAGGAGATAGATAGTTACATGAATCAGTTAAGATTAAAAAAACACTAGCTCAGGTCTGCTTGTGAGGTTTACAGCAAACTGGGGACACAAAATTTTCTTTTATTTTACCTCAAAATGTAGAAAAAGGGAGAAAAGAGCATGAAAACTCTAGACAGAAAATGCCTTTTTAAAACATTTTATTTAACAAACGTTGTGTATCCTGCCTGGAGGTAAGCCTTGTTTGGAGTAGGAAATTGATAGGTAGCTGTGAAGGTTGCATAGAGAAACCAGGATCTTTCCTTTGACTTCTTCACTTGTATTAAAAGAAGGGGCTGAAACATTTTACATTTATATGTGTACATGCCTGATAGAAACCATCATTTCTTTATAAATACAGCACTATTTCAGCTAATAATTCAGTGTACATGTGTAAATGTAGTAAGGCGTGCAAAAGAAAAATTTGTCTGTTATATGTCAAATCAACTTTAAATGGAAATGTAAACCAAATAGGTGATTTGCACTGTGCCGGTATCAGTCTGAGCAAGATAATTTAACTAAAATTGGTATTTCAGAGTGTAAACGATATCTAATAAAAATACATGGTGCACAAAAAACTGCTGAATTGCATTGCTGAATGCCCGCTCTATTAACAGCTGTGTTTGTTCTCTGAGAACAGGTTGCTTTCAGAAAATGGAAAAGGCCCATCAGCTCTTCACTCGGAGCAGACTGAAGCTGAAGGCTCCTCCGTCCCCAGAGGCTATTTGCAAGCCCTGGACAGCCGAGGGAACCCTCTCTGCCTCAGCTGCCAACAGCCAACAGCTCAGCCTGCGCCGGGCTGCCAGGCCCGTGCCTGGGACACGCGATTCTGCTCTCACACCTGCCAGGAGGACTTCTCGATTCGCTCTAGTCAGAGCTACCTCAGGACTAAAGTGTTTGAAATTGAACATGGTGTTTGCCAGTTTTGTAATGAAAATGCTCAGGAGCTTTATCTCAGCATCAGAGATGCACCCAAGAGTCAGCGTAAGAAAATTCTGGAGAGTTCTTGGATGTCTTCCCTTCCACTCGCACAGGTAATAGCACTGGCTATAAAGCAGTAACGACTAATCTGTGTATTCCTGTAGTTCAGACAAATCCAAAATGCTGTTCTCTGAGGCTGAAGATTGAAGGTTAAGCTAGCACCACCAACAATAATAAAAAACAAAATCTTAAACACAAAAAACCCCAGTGTCTTCTAATATATTTTTTCATTGCTGAAAGGCACAGGCATCAGAGTTCAGATGTGAATACTGCAGCCAGATTTACTTGAAATGCACCTTGTTAACGAACTTCATGGTTTTAAAACAAAGAATGAATGTCATCAAGGCGTATTAGGTTATTCCTACTCTGCAGAATGTTTGGTAGGAGCTTAACAAAAACCAGTTGTCACAGCTCCTCTCTGTATCACCTCAAAATGCCTTAAACGACCACGATGGATGTGAGTGATCGCTGCTTCACTGGCTTGAAGGCAGTAGAGCAGGGAGGGAGAACATTCCTATGTGAAGTGGTATTTTTATTCAGAAACTAAAATGCTATTTCATTTTCTGCTGAGAAGTTGAAATTCTGTTTCAGAAATTTCTGGTTCTAAATTGTTTAAATTCTGCAGGCACCCATGGAAGCTCTCAAGAGAAAAAGTAATTTACTGTCCCTTGTCATATGCATGAGATCAGCTTTGCTGCTTGCAGCTTTTTAAAAGAAGGTGGTGCTGCACGTCTCGAAGACTGAGAGGTCTTGTGGAGGGGGAGTATCTTACAACCTTCTAAGTGAACATGACTCTATGTTAAGTTACAATTAGTCCTTCACTGTTTGACAGCTGACATAGGGCGTTATCACCTAAGGTTTCTCAGTGCTTGCTATTACAATTACCACTGACTTGATCAAAAACTTAAATGACAAACTACCTAGCTGGAGTCTTTAATTTTTGTGATATTATAGCTGTTGCACTCTATTTGTGTATATTTAATACCAGCACTTAATGATAAAATGGCATTGAAGATAGCTTACCGTACCAGTCAAGAAAACTGAACCTTCCAGCCTGTCTTTCCTTGATCCATCACCATGTGCTTCACCACACCGTAGGCTAGCTGAAAATACACCAACTAAAATACAGTTTGCTCGTCCAGTGGGATTAACGATAAAATGCTAAGGCTTACTTTCTCTCTGGAAGAAAACTATAAATAACTACTTCCCTAAATTCTTTTCTTATTGTTACGGTAGAACATACCTGTAGTTCAGAAAGAATATCTGATGCTTCCACTGTCGTGTCCTTTGTTTCCTGCAGCTGAATGAAATTATAACGAGCCCGACAGAAGGCCAGTTCTGGCAGGTCGACCACATCAAGCCTGTTTACAGTGGAGGAGGACAGTGCTCCCTGGAGAACCTCCAGACCCTGTGTACGGTCTGCCACCGAGAGGTGAGCGTGCCATGGTCAGAAATCCTCACCCTCTCACAGGGAAACGCTGCGGAATACGCACCAGGGTGTCACTTACAGTCACGGCAGGGCTTGGGGCAGAACAGAGTCAGAGCCCCGGGCTCAGGGCAGGGTGCTCAGCACCACCCTGCGCGGTCCTGCCCTGTCCCGCCCCAAAGGGTGCCAGGCGATGGCTGTAAAGAGGCTCCTGACCAACCCCTGTGCTCCCAGCCTCTCCCTCCCAGAGCTCATTAAACTCCCATTAAGCTCCCATTAAACTGTTACAAGTTTCCTCAAGATTTGTGAAACTGTCACCTTAGTAAACATTTGCATTTTATTATGTTGTCTACTGCAAAATTAAGACTGAAGGTTAAAGATGGGCTAATGCTTTCCCTCGAGCACGCAGCTGCCGAGTAACAATACTGACTGAACAGACCTGTCTTTCTCTTTTGCAGAGAACTGCAAAACAGGCCAAGGAAAGAAGCCAGATGAAGAGACGTTCTTTAACTACAAAGTATGGCTGCGATATCACAAAATTTTTTGTGAAGAGGTAAAATGGAAAATATATTCAATTACGTTATAACTCAGAAACCAGTATAGTTATGTAGCTTTCCTCATGCACTGATTTAAAAAAAAAAAAATAATCATTTTTGTAGTCTATCATGCTGTTAGTAGAAAGAAGATGGAATTAAAACTAAGAAATCGTAACACTGCTTGTCAGAGGGCCTTGGGTCTGTGCATCCAAGGTACTTGATCATGGTTATATTTTTATGACCCTGTGGTTTAAGCTGAATTTCTGTGTGTAACCTTAATGCAATTTTGAAGCATTACTATTTTCATACTCCAGTGTAGTTATAGCTGCAAGGATTTGAGGAAGTTCTGTTGAAACTTCTGTTGGTCTTAAAGGGTTGAGTGGGAGTGGGGACATTATGGACCAAGAAGATATCTTAGTTTATTTTCTTTGTTCACATACCAAAATGGCCAAAGAAAACACAGGCCGTGATATCTGTTATGACAAAAAGTGTGATTTCTCTTTTCTAAAATTGTCTTATCCAGTTCTGATCAGCTGTGAAAGGCCGACTGTTGGCACTGGGCCTGACATGTAAGACTTTGGCATTTACAATTAATGTCTACTGAAATTCATTTTTACTTAAACCAGCTTGTATTAAAAACTTACTCATGATAAGGAACAATAAATATTACCAATTATCTCATCAAAAGTAGTTTCATATTTTCCTTAAGATTGGAGATGCTGGTTATTTTGGACTGTTCATGTAGCTTTCTTTACACTTATTTCATATAAATACATTTCTATTTTTCCTGGTGATTTTTTTTATGCTTTACCTGTCTCTCCCCCCCTCCCTTGAGTGCTGTAAGCCAGGGGTAAGTTCATAAAGCACATCTGTACAGCCCGTATCTTCTTCTGAAAGTACATGTCTGCAATTTCAAGTACATCTAGTGAAAATAAGCTGAAAAGCTTTCTAGGTTATCCTTATGAGAAAAATTCTTCAAGTTTTAAACATTCTTTTTAACATTCCGTTAAATCTTTAAGATAAGGCAGTGGCATGAGTGCACCATTTTCTATAAAGCGAAACTAACTCGACTTTTCCAGCAAAGACACCTTTAGGTAACTGCCTGAAAGAAGTGTTACATGATGTTTGTGTTCTCCAAGTATAATTAAAGAATCATCACTTCAGCAGTTTAAAAGACCAAGTGAGAACAAAGCGAGGGATTTCTAAGCTCATACAGCCCTTACCAGAGGCCACGCTTTGATGTAAAATTTCATGAAGACAGTGCAGCAGGAGAGGAGGAAACTGAGACTATCAGGAAGGAAGCTTAAGAAGTTAAAGATTATTTGTTCACTAATTAGCCTGGTGCAATTTCTTTTAAAGAAGCTAGACAGTTAAGCAGCAGCTAAACTTGTCTTTGTCTTTCTCAGCCCTTTTAGCAGAGAAATGTGCCTCAGGTGAAAACACAAATGGCCTGGAGAACAAACTCTGTGACAAGATTTTCTCTGAAGAAAATTAACTCTTTATCCTGAAAACTGTATTTCTGTTTGATACAGATTTATCTGAGGGAAACACTCTAGCCCCTGACCTCTCTCCTCTCAAAGAAGTTTTAGGGTATCGCCTGGGACCTTACTCTTTGGACAGAGCTTAACTTTCTATGTTTAGTGTAGTCACAGTCATTACCAGGGCTGGTCCTGGGTCAACTTATGCAAGGATGACATTTAACAAGTATTTTGACGAAATCTAGACTGGCGCTCACAGAGGTGTGAGAGCCAATAATAAGTTCAGATTTATTGAGTAATGTCAACAATACTGTAACTGTTTTTACATTTCATTCTGTAAAGTAATGCTGATCTTTTGCCAATTCTCATTAAAACAGATGAAGATCACTGTAAAGCAACATTGGCACATCCACATCATAGTGTTTGCATGACATCCTGTGGGGTTAGGTTACAGCAGGTGATGGAGTTGTTTCATCATATCAGATCAAAGCCACAGTAGGCATTCAGATGGTCTCAAACTACCAGCAAGTTGCTCAGAGTGAAACACCACTGCACGTGTCCCTTACAGCCAGCTCTGTACACAAGGGCCGTGGAAGGATGATCTAAAGTATCCAAAACCCGCAGTGATCCACTTCAGGCTATCCAGCTTACTGTCCAGCTCAAGCCCCAAATACATTTATTTCTGTTTGGGAAAAGTGTCCAAGACAATATCTTTTTGGACAACTGCTGCAATGCTAGGAGGGTGTTGTATTAACTAAAATGTACTGTAGACTTTAAATAATAAGTCTATTTTAGGAGTATTTGCAACTTAGTGATTAACCAAAAAATACTGGGCTCAATGTTTATTATTAGCAATAAATACCAATTACTTCATGCTTGCACATCAATTTAAGTAGACTAATGTCACCTGATAAAGTCTGATTAAGAACTGTAAAGCAGCACATTCTGCATGAATTTCAACATGAAGTGTTTGCATACAGCCCATTCATGTCCATTATTAAATAAGCTAATGCAAAAAAAAAAAAAAAAAAATACGCTCCCTTGTGACAGAGGGAAGATTGCTAACCTTTCTTCCCCTAAAATCTGAATAAAACTACTGGTGAAGCCATTCCAGACCTCCCAGCTAGGAGCTGCACCAGGCACCCTCCTTGGCTGCCCGTGCAGCCCTGGCCCTGGGAGCGCGACCCTCCGCCCCTAATGCCGACCGCGTCGTCTCCTCACCACAAGCCAGTTCCCCTCTAGCATTAACTTCCCCGAAGGAAAAGCAAGTGCATGCTGCTGGTGAAGACACACAAGGTAACGCAGCCGCTCAGGTCAGAAGAATGTTGTATCTGCTGAAAAGGCACCTGCCAGTCGAAAGTCTTCCTTCGTCAGCACGCTGTACAGGCGCTGGGGCAGGGGCTTGGAGTAAGGCGCGGGGCGGGGGACAGTTGTGCGCAAAATCACCTCGCGACCCGTGGGCGGTGGGAAATCTGAAACAGCCCCCGTGTTGAGTCTTCGCTCCTCCGGTGAACCCGATCTCCTCAATTCTTCATCAAGTGGAGGCACCGCAGAAACCTTGAATAAGAGCAGAGGTATAATTACAGGGCAAGCTGTTTCTTAACATTAGGATTCCGAAAATATTTCTTAAGAGGAACAAAGTAAGATTAGAAATGGTGAACACATCAAAAGGCTTTATGTGTACACAGAGCAAGACACTAATGGGATGTCAAGAAATAAACTGCACGCAATCAAATGAAAGAACCTTCACTTGTGGATGGTGAATCTCAGGCTAAGCTCCTGATTTTCTGACAGTGTGAGGCAAGGGTTTTGACCAAAGGAAATGCCCCCTTCTCAAGCGGGTGCTCTCCTCAGCTCTCTGTGGCTACAAGGCCAAGCCAGCCTTCTTTTAAAAATAACCAGCACCACTACTGGAGTCTTGACAAAAAGTCACCTGCCTTTTCAAACTCAAAATACTACTTCTGCATGTGTTTTTCATGGCCGGTGAGAGGCGTGCTGAAGTGACAGTGCAGAGCAAGCGAGACGCTGTGCCATCTCCACTGAAGCTCGCTGCCTCAGGGCCAGCAAGCAGCAACACCCAAGACTGAATACTGGAAGAAGGGCTGGCATGCCCCGATAAACATGGCCTGATTACCTATAGATACACACCCCAATACCCTATAGGGTACACAACTCAAGCTTCTCAGTGTCCCTGAGGCACCGCAGAGCCTGCCCAGACAACCCCGTGGCCCCTCTCCCCACACGCTGCCCAGGAGCTGGGGGCCCGGCCCCGCTTCAGCGAGTCCCCAGGGCCAAGTGCCACTTGTTCCCACAAGAACAGTCCTGGGAAACCAACAGGGAGGATGGTGCCCGTGCTACGCTCCCTCACACAGTCACCCCAGCTCCTCCCCAAACCTCTCTGCATCTCTGTCCAAAAAGCTGAGTAGTTTCGGGAAGTGCTGGTACCTAGGATGGTGATGTTCAGGTACTGCCCATCACCACGTCCCCCAACAAGACAGCTGGCTGTTCAATAAACAAAAAACAGTGACAGCAACAGAGAAGAATATAAAGTAAAGGGCACGTATTTCAGCATCAGAAATTGTTAATATTCATTTGAACAAATGTTTGGGTGGGTTGTTTTTGTTTTTCAGATTTCTCTCTCTTTTCATTACCTGTTGGGCTCTAAAATTAAAGTCTGTGAGTGAGGACAAATCATTCTGGAAATACAAAATTATTTTTATGCTTAATATGCAAACAACAGTAGAAACTAAATCAGGCTGCTGTACTGTATCTACTGAAAGGTTCAACTCTGTGCAGCTAGGGAAGATGAGTGGGAAATGAGGGACAAAGTCGGTTACCTCATCAGAAGATTCAGTCAGCTTGGAAAGGGATGAGAAAAGAACCAGTGATGAAAGACAGAAACAAAGGCAAGTCAGAGGTGACTTACAAGAGATTAGAAGGAGATTGTATGTTCAAGAGATATCATGCACTCTACTTCCAAGAACATGCATTTGCTATCATAATTTTCCTGAGAAAACTTGAGAATATAACAACATATTTTACACAGCTCACAGAGAGGAGTCCAGGTTCAAAAGGTAACGAACAAAGAAGTCATTCAACTTCTATTTACCAAACAGCTCTCTACTGGAATAATTCATGGTAGATTAAACATGAGGGCTTTCTTGTAGCAAGTTAGCTCCTGTCCCCACCAAGTCTTAATTAGCAGTGGCCAGCTAATGGGAAGTATCTAACTTAGCTTTAGGTACTGATGTTTCAAAAGAAACAAAACCCTAGAAATTTACATACATCTTTACAGAGCATTAATGCTAGAAAATCTTACTTAGCTTTAAAAGCATCATGCCTCAGTATCGAAAAGGAAAGTGCATCCACCTGCATGCACTTACAGGGCACAGCCTTAGGCTTTACGGGGAGGTCTGTAAGTAAGGCTGGTTGACATGCTGAGATGTGCAACCAGATTCTCCCTAGAGACTAGAAGAATAAAACAAATGTTCTGATTTTCATTTCCCAGAATAACCACGGTCTGTTTTCAGAATGGACATTTTTATGCTGAGTTGCAAAACACAGATTATGATAAAAGCATCCATACCTTAAAAGTGTTTACTACCCAATCAGGACACTTACAGCAATGATTTCCAAACAGGATTTCAGGCTCTAAGATGTCTGCAATACTATGCTACCTTGTTATTACCACTGTTGATAAATTTTAGTTAGATCGTGATGCTATGAACAGGTGTAATTCTGACAGAAACTGAAGGATGATTGCAGTCCAAGAAGTTTGGAAATCAGTACTTTAAGGCTAATTATTACAAAGACTGCTTAAGAGAAAAAGGGAATATTTATATCAATATGGGCTGGGGAAAGGTTTCCAGAAAACAGACGCAACACTGGCAATAGGTAAACTGAATGCAGAGTTGTACTGGAACAGAACAGAAACTTCCTAAGCATACCAGTTTCCACAGAAGAAGTCGCAAGTATTCCAAGTACAAGCCTCAGTCTAAAAAGTCACTCCTTTTAAAGTATTTTATATTATGACATGTTTCTCTACATCCCTATGTGAAACAATCGACACACTTGATTGTTCTTGCTGTGATGTTGCATATATCATGTAACTTGACTAAAGCAGAAATTTGTGCCCATAATAGCAATATTGATGTTACCATTTGAAGTAAATCAAACATTAATGACACCTCTATCTACCCAGCTGGCTAATTGTTTAACAACCCAGGTCACTTACTCTTCTTTCATCTTGCAAGGTTCTGTTACTGCCAAAATTATGTTGAACATCACAAAAAAAACCTCAAGCACATTGATGACATACATGCATATACGCAGACAAAATAAACTGGCATCATATGACAAGTCGTTGCCTCATACTGCTTACATTAGAAGTATCTCAAAGCAATCCAGAGCGCTCTCTTACCCTCTGAGCATTCACAAACAGCTTGTGGATAATGCTACCGGCAGGTCCTCTTCCTGCACCAATAACTGACACTTCTGGCTGCTCCAGGAGACAGTTTACGAATCTGGTGGTACAAATTATTGAAAAGGAAAGAGGAATGTTTAATTCTCAGCTGTACCCAGTTTGCTAATCTAAAACCAGAACTGTTTCCTGTGAGGTCTCCACCTAGCATCATTTGCACAGTGAGAACTGGCAGACACTCTCAAAAGTTCTGTTTTAAAAGTTTAAGGACAAAAACCCTGAGAATTCTCAGCATCCCACCGAAACACTACCATCACCTTTTCATCCCTTTACTCCTTTCCCTCTACCCTAAAGACTAAACCTCCCTTAGCCTTCAGCTGTTCCCTCCTACCTTGTTGCTCTTTCTTTCATGCTAACACAAGCAGCTGTTCTTTCACAGATAACACAGGTCAAAACTAAGCTGAACACAGCAACCTCCCACAAAAGGTCAGGAAAGGCAGGATTACATGGCTGATAGCCTTGCAACTCCAGCAGCAGGGCCAGTTAACACCTAGGTGCAGCTCAGACTCTGAAAGGACCTACTTCTCTCGATTAACTGTAAATGGAACCCAGGCTCCTAATGCAGGTGTATGAATTCAACATGAAAAGCCTTCATGGTGTTGGCCACACGGAAGAAGTAATGACCATTTTTTTGCTCACAAAGATACTGCATTGGTCAGACATCACTCCCATGAACTCCCAACATTTACTTCAAAACATCATCTCTCTTCCTCAGCACAGCAGCAAGAAGTTAATGTGGAGGTTTTTTTAACATTACATGTTCATCATCTTAAGCAGTAAGTAAATAATCTGACAGCAGGTAGTGGAGCAATGAAACATGGCTCATTGCTTTTCATACATATGGTTGCTCAGTAATATCTTTCAAATTAGTAAGGAGACTAGAATAAGAAAATTTAACTTTGGGGAAGGGGCGATATAGGGGGGTGCATTTAATGCCATATTAGTTATAGAAAATACTAAGTTCCTCATCCTTCTAGTTTTACATCTATTGTAACAAAATTCATCAAATGTAACTTTTACATACACAAAAAAAAAATAAATTAAATCCCCAGTACTGTCAAGATAAAAACAAGTTCCATTAAAATAATCTGCATCACATTTTCAAAGAGATGGTTGGAGGGGCATTAAGGGCACCACATAAAACATCTCTAGGTAGCCTAGGGACAGGGACACGTAATGTTTATAGCTACTAAATACAATTCCTTAGTACTTCTGTATTACCACCACTTCCATCTGTCCTAAATTCTGAAACCATGAAAAAGGGGCATCAGAAGAAAAACAAAACAACACTGGTGCAGGGAAGGGAGGAAAAAAGAAAAAAAAAAATATAATCAGTCACCTTTGTAGATCTTCTTTCTCCTCCTCATTTTCACATTTTTCTACCCCAAATTTTGCTTTCAGAGACCTGGCCCTGGCAATGATAGCTTCCACACTCATAATCTGAGCAATGATTTCCTGCAGGAGTTTCATAAAAGTGAAAATTAGAAAGATGTACTTTTAGCACTCCCATGAACAGCGTAAAAGTTAATCAGGTTTTCAGCTCCCGTCACTACA